CCTTTGCAGGGACATGGATGAAGCTGGAAACCATCATTCTCAGCAAACTAACGCAAGCACAGAAAACCAAACACCGCATGTTCTCACTCATAAGTGGGAGTTGAACAATGAGAACACATGGACCCAGGGAGGGGAGCATCACACACTGGGGCCTGCCAGAGGGTGGCGGGAAAGGGGAGGGACAGCATTAGGACAAATACCTAATGCATGTGGGGCTTAAAATCCAGATGATGGGTTGATGGGTGCAGCAAACCACCATGGCACACGTATACCTATGTAACAAACCTGCATGCTCTGCACATCTATCCCAGAACTTAAAGTCAAATTAAAAAAAAAAAATACATATACTTGTCAGCATTGTCAATGTAAGATGAGATAAGACTCACCACTGTTAAGAGGAGCATTTAGCAAAGGACGCCAAGTGGGTCCTTGGAAAAAAAGTCGTCACTGTGTGCTGGTTAGTAGATGTGTTCTCTCTTCTAAACTCTAGGCTTCATTAGGGCAGATTCTTGGCCTATTTTGTTGTTTCTCAACAACTAGCATAGTGTCTAAGCCAGAGCAGACTCTCAAGTGTTTATGAATGAAGGAAACAGTTCTTCCATTTCCTTGAATAATCCTAAGTAGGCTGCTTTCAGCTCTTCTGTCATCCTGACTTGGGAAATTATTGAGACATCAGCAAAATGTATAATAATCTTTATGAAAAGAGAGCTCACACAACTGCAATTCGTCTTGTCTTACATCATGCTTTCTGATTCAGAGGACAGCAATGTAAAACCGTGAAGAAACGATGGCTCAGAGGGTGGCATCTAGACTCGTTCCCTGGCCTGCCCTAGGGCCCCTGCTCTCTGCAGTATACCACACCATCTCTGTACACTGCCTTGTGTGAAAGTTCCATTTGGAAGAGAGGAGAGAAAGGAAAAACATTAAAAGATATACATGCTTAGTTTCCCAATTTCTGAGTTGTCCCAATTCTCAGGCTAAGAAATCTGTTCTCACGATGTAAAGTTAGCCATGTGCAGGATGAGTTAACTGATCCAGATCATGAAAATATTCACCATCCTGCATCGCTCCTCAACAGGTTCGAGTCAGGCCATCATGAAGCTGGTAATCTGCAAACTCATCAGTTTCCTGCACACAGAGGAACTCTTAAGGTGCCAGGCACTACCTCATTTCTAGGAAGGAAGCTGAGTCCTCAGGATGAGCATTCAACAAAATGAATTGTTCCTAGATACACTGAGGCACTGTAAGTCATGAATAGTTTAAAAACCAGGACCCAACAATGCCCATGTCCACACACATTTAAAAGCGGATGTGCAATCTCACATGTCCATATAAAGAATTTAGAGCACCAATGAGAGCTCTTGGAAAATAAGCACAAAACCCTTTTGATGGATACACTACTTATATATTACTGAGGATGTGTGAACCGCTCAATCTTCATTCAGTCATCATAGAGACCAAGGATGGACCCTGACCAAATGAGAAGGGATGGGCTTAACACATGTTCTTCTGTGGTCAAATGTGCAAGAAAACACCACTGAAAAAGCACCTAAATTTACCCAACAAAAACAATTTTCTTGGTATTCAAGATAAACATAAAGCCAACTTTATGTACTGCATTTCTCCTTCTATAAAGTCTTTCAATTAGATTCAGTAATCTCGGCTCACTGCAACCTCCACCTCTCAGGTTCAAGCGATTCTCCAGCTTCGGCCTCCCAAGTAGCTGGGACTACAGGCGCGCACTACCAAGCCCGGCTAATTTTTGTATTTTTAGTAGGGACAAGGTTTCACCATGTTGCTCAGGCTGGTCTCGGACTCTTGAGCTCAAGGTGATCCACCCGCCTCGGCCTCCCAAAGTGCTGGGATTGCAGGCGTGAGCCACTGGGCCTGGCCCATGGTAATAACAACTGAATTGTATTCTTACCTGAACTGACATCTTCGCTGACACCCCCCACCACTCACTCAGGCAATATGGTCCAAGTAGTTAAGAAAAATAGTAACAAACTAAATTTTCTCTTCCCCAACCCCTTTCTTAACAAACAACAAGGTCAAGAATGAGCAGTCATTGAAAGTGAAATACTACATTGACCCAAGGGTAGGACAAGGTCAGTGTTTCTGGGCCTGACAGACCCCTCATGAGCCTCATGTCCTCATTCGCCAAAAGTAAATCGAAATATCTGCCCCATCGATTTCATAGTGCTGCTGTGGATGAGTCTGTTGAGATGCCCAATGGCTTTAGAATACAGTACACAAACATAAACACTAGGAACTAGAATCATCTTGGTGGGGAGGGCCTCAACATCTGAACTTAATGAACAGAAATGACTACTCAATTCAAGCTTATTTTCCTGTTAAAAAAAAATCTGTGAAGATTTTGTTTATACTTAAGTTATTCACTTAACTACTTTCATCCTTTTTCACAGATAATGAAAGAGCATCAAAAAGCAGCTCATGACATTCACCTAGAAAGATCACCATTAGAACTGCAGGGAGATATATTTAGATGAGGTTGACTGATTGAGGGAAGGTACGGTAGAAACAAGCATATCAAGGGTCAGGGCAGTTCATTTTACCATAATTTTAATATTAAAACAAAGCCAGTAAATTACCAATATTTATTAAATACTATAGCTGCACAATAAAGCCATCCACAGAGTCCCTTAACTCAGCTGTCAGGAGGGAGAGGCTGGGTACCATGGCTCATGCTTGTGATCCCAGAACTTTGGGAGGCCAAGGCAGGAGTATCCCTTGAGCCCAAGAGTTCAAGACCAGCTTGGGGAACATGGCAAAACCTTGCCTCTACCAAAAAAAAAAAAAAAATTAGCCAAGTGTGGTGGCACACACCTGTAGTCTGAGCTACTTGGGAAGTTGTACACACACACACACACACACACACACACACACACACAAAAGGGAAAGGCCAGATGCAGTGGCTCACACCTGTAATCCCAGCACTTTGGAAGGCCAAGGCAGGAGGATCACTTGAAGTCAGGAGTTCAAGACCAGCCTGGCCAACATGATGAAACCCCGTCTCTACTAAAAACACAAAAATTAGCCGGGCGTGGTGGCGGGTGCCTGTAATCCCAGGTACTCAGGAGGCTGAAGCAGGAGAATCATTTGAACTCCGGAGGTGGAGGCTGCAGTGAGCCAAGATCGTGCCACTGCACTCCAGCCTGGAGGACAGAGCGAGACTCCATCTCAAAAAAAAAAAAAAAAAAAAAAGAAGGGAGAAACAGAATCTTTTAGTCAGCATAGATGTGCTTTGGGGAGTGGGAAGAGGTTTCTGCTCGCCAGTATCTCTTCCTGCTGACCCCACTCCATGGCCTTATCTTCAGCTGAATCCTCCAGAGGCACTAATCTACCTATTCCAGGCACCGGCAAACTTTCACGGCAAAAGACCAGACAGCACAAATTTCAGCTTTGTGGTCCCCTTGGTCTAGATTCTGCTACCGTGGCACAAAAGCCCCCCTAGGCAACCCCAAAAGAAATGGGCAGGGTTTTATCCAATAAAACTTCATCTCTAGACACTGAAATGTGAATTTCATGTCATTTTCATGTGTCCCAAAATAGTCTTCTTTTTCCATTTTCAACCAGTTAAAAATGTAAATGGATACAGAGTTTCCAAGTTCTAGAGGTCCAACAATGTGCCTGTATGTAATGCTGCCCAACTGAACCCTTGCAAATGGTGATGATGATAAATGGTATGTTATGTGTATTGTACCACAGTTTTAAAAGATTTTTTTTAAGTATCCGTGTCTGGCCTTGAAGCTGTAGCTTTGCTGCCCCTGAGGGAGCCCCACCTTCCAATTTCATTTTGAAACAGGGTATGAGGTATACTGCAGGTTAACCGAAAGTGGCTAGAAAACAGCAGTCAGACATCACTGGACAAGACCCAGGATCAGAGGCCCCAGGAACCCAGCACGTCCTGCAGTCTTCAGTGGGAAGGCAAAGGCCTGAGGTCCGTGGCTGGGCGTGCAGGGTGAGGGGACACACATTGCCCGGATTCCTGTCGTGTTTCTGTTGACCTTGCCTGAGGGCTTCTGAACTGTGAGGCACATCCCTTCAACTTGTGTGGACCTACTAGGCTGGAATCTTTTCCAATAAGGATATAGAAATTGGATTTGAGAAGGATCCACAGGCCTCGCCAGCAGCCCTCTGTAGGCCTAGAGTCCAATCTTGGGAAGGACATGGGGGCGGTGGGAGCATCTGCAACCCCCAACCACAGCAGAAGACCAGCAGAAAAGTCAAGAATGGGTTTGGGCAAAACAGTCTGGACAGGCGACAGAAAGCATTTACACCACCACCAAAAGGGAAAATGGGCTGGGCTGACACAACCAGCCCTTTCCACATCCAGCCAATAACCAGAGGTGCAGAAGCCAAGTTTACTCAAAGCAGTGACTGTGAAGCAGGAAGATACGCCCCAAAGACAACTGCAGTCAGCCTGCCCCACGCTGCCATGGAATCACAGGGTTAAGTCAGAGTGTGAGTGTATCTTTAAGAAAAATATAGTGGTGGCCCTTGTCCAGATTTAGCCTGTGGCTGAAACCATTTATGTAAAAATATTTTTTTCTTCCTGTGCTATTCATTTAACACCTAGTGAAATAAAAACCCCTTTCTTGTACACCATCTCTTTTTTTTTTTGAGATGGGAATCTTGACCTGTTACCCAGGCTGGAGTACAGTGGCATGATCTCGGCTCACTGCAACCTCCACCTCCCAGGTTCAAGTGATTTTCCTGCCTCAGCCTCCTGAGTGTCTGGGATTACAGACGTGCACCACTGTGTCCAGCTAATTTTTTGTATTTTTAGTAGAGATGGGGTCTCGCTATGTTGGCCAGGATGGTCTCCAACAGCTGACCTCAAGCGATCCACCCACCTCGGCCTCCCAAAGTGCTAGGATTATAGTGTGAGCCACCACGCCCAGCCTCATGCCATCCTTGTAGAATTTTCAATGTGTGTCTTATTAACAATTAAAGAACATCTTGGAGTTGCTTTTCCTCTTTAATCTAAATGTAATATATGGAAATTTTATGAACTGCTTTGAAATCTCCTAAAAGTAATTTTTTCAAAGAGTAGTTCAGACCAACCCAGACCTCTTGCTTCTTGACGGAGCAAGTAAGCTAGCTAGCTCTGGGTTAATGTTCACACCAGGGTGATAAGGCCTGATGGGAGTTTGCTGTGGACGCTGAGCTGGGCCCAGGGACTTCACCACCAAAGGACAAGGTCGCTATTGTGAATCCTGCTTTACAGAGCAGGACAGAGGCCCAGAGAGCAAACCTGCCCAAGACCACACAGCTAGTATGTGGCCGAACTGGGACTGGAGCCCAGATCTTTGACACCAAAATTAATGTGTGTCCCTCTGTCTCGCGGCTTTTCAGATGGATCACACAGGAACGGGATGAAATAATGTGAAAACCACTGCCAATGTGAGCTGGAAATCCACGGACACAGAATGCCCACCCACTGGTCACTCCTCACCAGGTCCCACCCTACTTATCTAAAACAGGTTAGTGCAAATGGCATTCATTCATTTCATGCCCACTGACACCCATTTTGCCCTCATTATTCAGTCACTCTAGAAAAAAAAAATGGGGGAAAAAATCACTTTAAAGTCATTTGGCTGCTTTTAGCCTATTTTTACTGTCACATAGGATGATCTACATCACCCTTGGGAAACAAGGGATTACTCTGGCAAGGAACTTTTGCGGCAAGTCACAGAGAATCAGCTAGTCCCAGTGTACCATCTGACGTGCAGCTTGACACAGGGACGTGGCACTTACATTGGCTGCCTCCCCTATCAGACTGTGAAGTCTGTGACGGCATCCCCAAGCCCACAGGATCCAGAGCTTCCAGCAGAACAGAAGCCCCATATATATGAGTTGTTGCAAGTAGAAATGAAATAAACATTTTTACAGTAAAGCCACAAGGGATGGGTGTAGCTCAGAGAAGTACAGTTAAAATCACCTAATTGTGTGTGTGTCTAAACAGCTGGATGTGAACTTACCTGTCGTTTATAAATTCAGGAAGGAAGGGTGTGGGTGGGTGGGGGTATGTCATGCACTAACCAGCATTGTTAACACAAAAACATCACAATCTGTTGTCCAACAATAACATCTGGCCATACCCAGGGAGTCAAGACACCACACTGAGATGTCCTCAATAATACCACTCTCACATGCTTTGTACTACATGAGTTCCCAAGTGCCTTCAACTCAGTTCATTTCCACAAACACTCTACAAGCACTAGTGTGGGCCAGGAATACCACTGGCACCTAGTTGGGTTACAAAGTGAACTAAGACCAGGATCTTGCCTTTAATGGCCCAAAGCCTGGCTGAGTACCATGCTAGGTAAGCAAGTACTAAGAATACGGTTTGTAAGGTTCGGTAACCATGTCGGAGGTACGGAGGTGGCATGGACTTCCCAAATGGGATAATGCCCAAGACTACAGAATGAATAGTAAGAATTCTAGCTATAGAATAATAATGATTACTATTGAATAGTAATTCTATCGATATTAGTAATTCTATTACTATTGAATAGTAAGAATTTTAGCTATAGAATAAAAATTCTTACTATTGAATAGTAATTCTTACTAATCAATAGTATTCTTACTATTCATTCTTACTATAGAATGCATTCTTGGCAACCTTGGTATATGAGCTTTTCCTTTCCTTATTTAGTAGAGAACTTCTGCTTTTTCACTTAAAGGAAGGACTTCATGGCATCTCTTTGGCATATCCAGATTGCCAGCATCACCACTCTTGTGCCTTAGGGCACAAGAGTCAAATAAGGGTGACTTGAACACAAGCCCTGTGGTGCCACGACAGTCAGTCTGGGCACCAAGGCAGCTCCTGAGTGACTGGTGGACGGGGAGCGTAGGCAGCATGGATCCACTGGATAAAAGAAGGATTCATGTCCCTGACGGGGCGAAGTGGGATGGCGTAAGAGTCTATCACACTGCTCAGAATGGCATGCAATTTAAAACCTAGGAATTGCCTAGTTCTGGAATTTTCCCTTTAACATTTTTGAACCACAGCTGACCAAGGTTAACAAACTACAGAAAGAGAAACTGAGGATTGGGGGCCCTGAGGGAGGAGGGATGGCCCTACTGCCAAAAGCATCTCCCCAGCTAATCCGTAAATAGCTTTTGGGAAATGAGGTAGATATTACTAGTGCTGTTTTGCAGGTTAGCACATTAGGGCAGAGGTAGATGACCCAAGGCTCTGTGGGAGTCTGGCTGTGCCTGCCTTGTGCCCTCTGCCTAACATACTTTTGCCCAGTGCTTGCGGCTCAATGAATGGTGACTTATTCAATGACAACGGAAGGCGATTTGCGCAAGGCCATCAATAAATTAGTAACTAAGTAAAAGTTAGAATCAAGGATGCTCCAATGCTTATAACAAGTCATAGTACTTCCAAACTAGCTGGAAAAACTAATAAAATGTTACAGGGGGAGCCCTAAAAATAAATGGGAAAAGGAAAATCAATTGAAGGATGTCACAAAAAGGTTAAGATTCACAAACTTGAGATCAATTCTAAGAAGATAAATATCTTTAATACTCAGAGAACATATTACTGGATGGATGTACCATGGTTTACTCAATACCCTACGATTATTAAACATCTACTGGGTTACATTTTTGCACACAGATCTACCTATTTCCTTAGAAGAGATTGCTTCAAAGAACAATTGCTAATTGAAAAACTCTGTATTAAAATTGCATACTGGATCACGGATGATTTTTATTTTCTTCTTTATTATGTTCATTATTTTATGAATTTTCAATAGTGAGCATAAACTTTTTTTTTTTGAGAACAGTCTTGAAAATAGAGCCAAGTACAAAAGATGATACAAGAGTAATGACAAATATTTTCTCACATTTCAAGTTTTATAACATTATGAATAAAATTATTCCTATTCCACCTAATCTTTCTAAATATAAACACAGAGATTCTTTCTAAACATAAACATTATAAATAAAAGTAATATTTCTGGGCACGGTGGCTCATGCCTGTGATCTCAGCACTTTGGGAGGCCGAGCCAGGCAGATCACCTGAGGTCAGGAGTTTGAGACCAGCCTGACCAACATGGAGAAACCCCATCTCTACTAAAAGTACAAAAATCAGCCAGGCATGGTGGTGCAGCATGTAATCCTAGCTACTCAGGAGGCTGAGGCAGGAGAATCGCTTGAAACCGGGAGGCAGAGGTGGCGGTGAGCTGAGACTGCGCCACTGCACTCCTGTCTGGGCAACAAGAGCGAAGCTCTGTCTCAAAAAACAACAATAATAATCATACTGTTGAAGATGAAACTGTATTAGGAAAGTAACACTGTAAAAGGGGCAGAGACTTAGTAAGATGACTTGCTAACTCCTCTTTATAAATGTTACCGTCAACATTTATACTAGGCCACTGCGATCTTTAGCTTCTCCAAAACAGGCCCAATACCTCCACGCTCTAACGAACAGTAATTTCAATGATCTGGTAAATTAACTTCGGGTCTGACAGAGATCAGGCCTGACAGATTACTGACTCTATTTCCATTGCTTTAATTTTACTTCTTGAAAAAAATTTTCAACTAAAAGTCATGTGCAACTAATGTCATCAAAGTCTCACTTTAACACGTTAATCCAATGCTAGTGAGTATGACCATTCAGTATTCCAATAAACACAGAATGCGTGAATTTCATTAACATATGCCTGGAATAACTAGTTTCTATGAAACCTGTAATGCGATCTTTTCATTTCTGTCTATTGTAACTGCCAGTCTTTGCGAGTCTCCTCCATGACGTCAGTTTCCACGATCTTCAATAGAAAAACACGTGATCACCTCACCCAACACAGAGAAAAACCATATTCACAGGCTGCCCTCAGCCACTTAAGTGTCCCAAAAACCAGCTGAGGGTGTTGTACATTACATGTCTGGAGACTGGAGGAAGAAGAAAAGTTGGCAAATAAAAGAATGCAGTATTGCCAGGCCTAGTGGCTCACGCCTGTAATCCCAGCGCTTTGGGAGGCTAAGGCAGGTGGATCTCTTTGAGCTCCAGAGTTCAAGATCAGCCTACACAACATGGCAAAACCTTGTTTCTAAAAAAAAAAAAAAAATAGCTGGGCATGGTAGCACACACCTGCAGTCCCAGCTACTTGGGAGGTTGAAGCTGGAGATTCACTTGACCCCGAGAGGTGAAGGTTGCAGTGAGCTGAGATCACACTATTGCGCTCCAGCCTGGGTGACAGAGTAAGACTCTGTCTCAAAAAAAAAATTGGGGCGGATGGGGTACAGTATCAACCTATAGGAAGCAAACTAGCACAAGGAGGGCAGTTAAAGGAATTGGGTGTCCCCTCCAGATCTCATGCTGAAACATGACCCCAGAGTTGGAGGCGGAGCCTGGTGAGAGGTGTCTGGGTCTTCGATGCCCTCCCCACAGTAAGGAGTGAGTTCTCGCTTTATTAGCTCAGGAGAGTGCTGGTTTTAATGCAAAACATGCTAACAGGAATCATCTGTACACAGAAATTTGAAGCATGCCTTGCTTCTTTCTCTGGCTTTTCCTCCACGCCTACACAGCATGTTACATTATCCAAAAGATATCATCTATGTTACAAACTCCCATATTTTTACAAACATCCATCAATGTTCTTCCTATAACACCATAAATTCCTTCCTGCACATAATTTGTCCACCCCACCCATTGCATTCAAAGCCCAAAGCAAACTTCTAGGCAAAAAAAAAAAAAAAAAAAAAAAAAAAGTACACAGACATGCAGACTTGTGGGAGCTGACAGAAATCTATAGAAAGGAATGTGATCTGGTCAATGAAGAGAGGAGGGGAGTAAGATGTTATGGACCAAAAGGTTGCATCCAATGGGAAGTCAAGGTGAACAGACACCCGGATGTCCTTCTGGAAGGCAGTACTCTTTCCCCCAAGGATTGGCCAGGTTCTGACAACTCCCCAGTGCTGCAGCCACCCAGAGCTCAGGGCCAGGGGCCGCCCACAAATGAGCTCTGCCAGCACTTCTCTGTGGGACCCTGGTCTGGGCATCTCCTCTCTCGCTGCCTCAGGCCTCACCTAGAAAAGCAAAGCATGAGACCACAGCAGTGGTTCCTCCCAGTGTCTGCATGAGCAGTGTGCCCCATCAGCAGCTGTCATCACGCAGCCATGCACTGTGCATTCCCATAGGATGCGGACACCAGAGTCTCCCCTTCCTCCCACAGAGCTGCCGCACCTGCCCACCCTGGAGTCCTAATACACACCCCTAAACAGAGCAGGATTAAATGTGAACACAAGTCCAGGATCCTGCAAGTCTCCGAATGTCCCCTCCTCCTGCCTCGGTGTTTAACTGATGGACACTGAAGGCCCTGACTCACTCCAGCCCCCTGGGATTTGGAATTGTGTCCTGGCCTTTGCATCCTATCTGTGGCCTGACTGAATACCGGCGAGAAGCAGATGAGAAGTTAATTTCAAACAGTGGTCAGCTTCTCAGCAGGACAGGGAGACTAAAGCCAGAACGTAGATTATGTGTTAGAATTCACGGCCTTGAAACAACGTGAAAAAGCCCCTCTAGCTAAAGCATCAGGGAATTCCAAAAACAGGAGACCAAAAAGCAGGTAGAGTGAAGAGTGTATGGGCAGCTTTCATAAAGCAAGTGCTCGTGGGCCAGCTGGATTTGTCCCCATGGTTTTGCTTTCACGGGCCCAGAGTTGAGCTGGATTGAGGTCCAGACCGCTGTGTATGACTGACTGGGTCTTTCGGATGCTGCAGAGGTAACCAGGGAGGAATGCATATCTGCAAAGGCTAAACTCAGTGAGGATGAAGCTGACTACACCAAAATGGAATAAACTGAAGAACAACAAAGAAAAATGTTAAATGAAGCAGTATTTCACCTATCAATAGGCAACAGAGGGGTGTGTGAACCCATGATTAGTAA